TGGATTCCTTGGGGGTAAGCAGATAAACATCACATTTTCATTTTTGGGTGAACTATCCCTTTAAGCTTATTTCCAAGGCAGCATTTCTAATTTTTGTTTAGATTTGAATCTAATATTTATATGTTATTTCAGCTTTATTTCAGTTAATAAAGATTTATGTCTTCATGGGAAGCTATGGAGTCTAGACGATGCTAGCAGAGGTGGAGCAAGTTTAGATTATATTTCTTTAGAATAATGTCACTGATAAGAGCCGGTGTGTGTATTGAGAAAGTAAACAGGGTCCGTTTCGATCTCAAACTTGGTTAAAATTGTTGAAACACTTGCAGTCAGAAGGTGGCACTCTTGTCTGAGCGCAGACTGAAGCTCCAGGAGAACAAAGCTGGCACAGATCTGAAGTCAGAAAAAACACGAAACATGCAGAGAGACGCTTCAGACTGCTGTAAAATCTGACAGTCAGACAGAAGAAGTGCTTCCAGATCGAAGCTATGATTCGTGTTGAGTGTGAGTTTGGGTGGAGGAGGCTGACGTCAGTTGCTCACATTCATCTCACACCTCTCTCTCTCTGTCTCTCTGTCTCTATCTCTCTCTCTGTGTCTCTCCATCTCTCTCTCTGTCTCTCTGTCTCTATCTCTCTCTCTCTGTCTCTCTCTCTCTCTCTCTGTCTCTCTGTCTCTATCTCTCTCTCTGTGTCTCTCCATCTCTCTCTCTGTCTCTCTGTCTCTATCTCTCTCTCTCTGTCTCTCTCTCTCTCTCTCTCCATCTCTCTCTCCATCTCTCTCTCTCTCTCTCCTGCGCTCAGAACCAGACCGAGGGGCTTTCCAGAACTCCTCAGATTCTGTGCGCTGGACAGAAGAACAGAGACCTGTCAAATGCTGTGCTGTTGTGGCTGGTTGCCGGGGTTCTGCTGTGCGGTTGCTAGGGTGTTCTGAGTGTTTTCGCAGTCAGATGTCCTAGTGAAGTCAGAGCACAGCTCTCGTCAGACGGAGTGTCTGAAAGCGTTACGGGTTGTTTAGAACAAACACTGCAATGATTCCTGATTTCTGTAATTCATGTTTTTAAAATCTCACGCATCTTGAATTCTGCCTTAATGCCAAAATCACGAGATTCCAGTGCATTAAGTGTTGAGAAGTGGCGTTATTTCCCAACATGCACTGCCCGAGGCCAGTAACGCTTTTGGAATTCATGTTTTTGATTATGAGAGCGATCGGCAGACATTTGCATTTGAAACACAAGATTCAGCTTCAAGCTGGGAACGCTGTTTGTGTTCATGAATTCAGACACGACTGAACACGTCTGTAGATGAGAACACGCTACTTTGTTTGCAAACAACAACCGGTCACGCACACATCAGACTCCTTTTAGACCAATGGATGCTCTGCAGTGAATGGGTGCCGTCAGAATGAGAGTCCAAACAGCTGATAAAAACATCACAATAATCCACAAGTAATCCACAGCACTCCAGTCCATCAGTTAACATCTGGAGAAGACAAAAGCTGAAACAAATCCAGCATTAAGACGCTTTTAACTAAAATACATTGAGTCCATAATCCATAATAACTCTTCCTCCAGTGAAAAAGTCTCTCACATCAAAATCCAGCCACATATTAGTTTAGAGCTGTTTAAACGCTGCTTGATCTGTGCAGATTTCTCTCCTGATTCACACCAGAACACTTTTTCACTGGAGGAAGAGTTATTATGGATTATGGACTGGATTTTAGTTAAAAGCATCTTAATGCTGGATGTGTTTCAGCTTTTGTCTTCTCCAGATGTTAACTGATGGACTGGA